GAGATGAGGTCTCGCTGCCCAGGCAGGTCTCGAACCTGCGGGCTCAGGCAATCCACTCACCTCAGCCTCCCAAAGGCGTGGGATTACAGGCTGAGCCACCGAGCCCGGCTCAGTTCTTTATTCTTTACCAGCAGTTTCTTTCTTTGGTAGAGATGGTGTCTCACTATGTTGCCCAAGCTAGTCTCCAACTCCTACCCTCAAGCAATTCTCCCACTTGGGCCTCCAAAAGTGCTGGGATTATAGGTGTAAGACACCATGCCTGGACAGCAATTTCAAAATCCAAAAACTCAATTTATTAACAGCCAAATATGACCAGGATGGAAATTATGCAACTAAAAAGACATTTAAAAAAAAATCCATCTAGCGTGAACATTGTTGTATTTCACTGCAGAAATATGAGCATGTTTGATTGGAATGCTCAAACTTTACTGAACATGATATGTAATATATAAGATAGGCAACATTAAAACTTTGAATTCTAAAATATTTGACCTCAAGAATTTCAGATAAGGGAGTTATGGATCACTATTGAAGGTATTCTTTCTGTTCTTTATCACATATATCCCCAAAGCACCCATATTTTAATCTGCCTTGAAAGTCATTATCTTAAAATATGAAAAATCAGATGTCTTAGGCAACTAATACTCTTAACCATTAGTGAACCATTATTCAGGGCCTGAATAATTTTCATAGCCAAACTTTTTCATGAACTTTGCCTACACAGCCCTCCTCCAGTGAAAATACAGAAGGTATGAATATCAGAACAATAAGTTACCTCTCTTCTTTTTTCCCTACGCTCCACCTTCTTACTCAAAGGAACGAGTTTCTTCCTAGAGGAAATAAAGAAAACACAAGTTCATGTGCTATGTGTTCCTTTTAAAAGATAAGAAGAAAAAAGGACTGGAATTGGTTCTGTAGGGCTCAGCAAAATAAGAAGATCTATTACTTAAACATTTCTAGACATTTGTTGCTATTAAAAAGTGACATTTAAATATATATTTTAATGTAGTTGTTTTTTTTTAAAAGGCATTTTGAGATTCTTAGAGCATTTACCATGTAAGAGTAATACTTCAATGAACTAAGAAAAAGGGATTTTCTGTAGAAGACTGATATCATCTTTATACTCTGTAGGTCACAACACTCCTTGAGAAGGCATTCTATTAATTCTGTGGATCTCATATCACTTTTTAAGATTAGTTTTCAATCAATCCAGAGTAAAGTTTTTACATTCCTGTTTATTCACATTATTTACATGATTTTCATCTAATGTCAAGGATTCCTTCAGGGAGTTATAAGGAAAATTTTCTGAAGCAGATTTTTCAGGCAGGGATAATGATAATCAAGCTGTAGTCCACTGTTTTAAAAGTCCTGCCATATCAAAGGGCTCGCCTTTAGTCTGCGGTAAAGTTTCTTTTTAGAATATCATAAAAAGAATCTACAAAGTCAAATTTAATAGAAGGCACTGAGGTTTCACAATCTGTCAGCTTCAAAACATGCTCCATGGAAAGAAAGATTTAAAAATAAATGAATGATCCAAATACTTACTGTCGCTTTAGTGTAAGTTTTCTAATGCGAATTAGGTACTGGGTGATCTTGGTGAATCTCTGCTTACATTTGTGTCGAATGAAACGGGGCCAGTAAATTAGGTTTTCATCTATTTGCTCCAATGCTTTCTCATAGTTTTTATTAAGCCGGACCTACCAAACAGAAAAAGGTAGTTTGAAGGTTAAAGGTAAATGATTAAGTCTTCACTGTCAACCAATAAGAAAGGCCTCAAAAGTTTAATCTAGCAGGACACAGTGACTCATGCCTGTAATCCCAGCACTTTGGGAGGTAGAGTTGAGAGGATTGTCTGAGTCCATAGGTTCAAGACCAACCCGAGGAACTTGGCATGACCTCGTCTCTACGATAAATAAAATAAGCTGGGTGTTGGAAGGATTGTCTGAACCCAGCAGGTTGAGGCTGCGGTAGCCATGATCATGTGCCTGCACTGCAGCCTGGGTGACAGTGAGACTCTGACTCAAAAAAAAAAGTCTAATCTAGATATGGTCAAGTAAGAGGCATTATTATGGTCAAGGCTGTGGCATTTATGCTCTTAATCAATGGTCACTGTAGTTTTGTCATAACTCTTACCCGTTCCCAGAGACGCCTAGGAAAAGCTGCTCGTTCTATAACCTTCATATACAAGTAGCACTGTCCTGAAGGATAAAGTAAAATGCTTAGTATTATTTACAGAGAGACTAAAGAACATCCCTTTCAATGCTGATGAGTAGTTCACACAGAAGTTAAAACTGGGAGATACCTTTCTCTTCTTTGATAGTGGCATACTGACTATTTGCCAGGGGACAGGATGACCGATTACATAGTCCTGTCAGGTTATATTCATTTCTGCAGAAGCCCTGAGTCTTGGTTCTAGAATGGGAGGAAAGAGACAAAGATTATAAGATAGGTTATCAAGAAGGCAATTGAAGGAATCTTAGCGTAAGCCGTAAAGCCAAACTCACCTTATTTTGAAGGAACAAAATTGTCTGTTTCCTAGTGTATCCCAGATAACCTGTAAAGACAAAGTAAAGAATCCATTTAAACTGGTCTGACCTATTATTTCAAGAAGACAACATTCTAGGACAATGCCTGCTTTACTGAGGAAAGGAGTCTCTAAGGAATTAGAGGAAGATAATATAGCCTGACTTGTTTGCTTTTCTTTATACAAACAACAGGGTCTTAGGAAAACCAAATGCAAGGTAGCAAGTCATTACTCAGAGATAAAATTACAGTTGGGTTTTGCAAATAATTTTCCAGAATTTTTTCTATGCGTGTACATTCCACAAACTATAGTATGCCTTCGTGCATATTTTTAACAAAAATGAGATCATATTATATATACTTCATAACTTTCCTTTTTTATTTAATATGGTTGTTATCCATTGTTAAAGGTTGAACAGTACTAGATTTTTGGATATACACACCATAATTTCATCTCACTGACAGCAAAAAAAATTTTCTATTGCTATGTTCTACTAACTAATGTGCTCTTTATTCATTCAGTATCGATTATATACTTAATTTATGTAAGACACTGACACCTTCAAGTCCTGGCACACAGTAGGCACAAGTATTTGTTGAATGAAGGAAGGTATAGTCTTTAAATAGTTTTATCAATCTAGTTGATGGAAAGATGTGTAAACAAAGTATCACAAAGTAGCGGTAGGTCTATAGCCATATAGAGGTGCATAGGGTATGACAGCCTTTGAGCGAACTATCTTGAGGAAACAGGAAAAAGCATTAAAGCAGTTAAAGGAAAAATATGAAGGGCAAAAGAAGAGAACACACTTTGGGAATTTTATAGATGTGCCTGGTGGGGGATGGTAGGAAACAGGTAAGAAGGAATGAAACTGGCCAAGTAGGGAGTTCATTCAAGCTTGCAGCTTTAAATACAATCTCTAGGCCTGGTGCAGTGGCTCATGCCTGTAATCCCAGCAGTCTGGGAGGAGGACGAAGGATCGCTTGAGCCCAGCAGTTCCAGACCAGCCTGAGCAACATAACGAAACCTCATCTCTACAAAATTAAAAAAAAAAAAATAAACAAAACAAAAACCAAACCAGCTAGCTGGGTGAGGTGGCTCACACCTGTAATCCCAGCACTTTTGAAGGTGAAAGATTACCTGAGTCCTGAGATTTGAGGCCAGCCCAGGCAACTTGGCAAGACCTCCTTTCTACAAGTCAAAAAAATCAGTCAGGCATTGAGCCCATCTGTAGTTCTTGTTACTTTGAGGGCTGAGGCAGAAGGATATTGCCTGAGCCCAGGGGGTGGAGGCTGCTGTGGCCATGATCATGCACTCCAGCCTGGGTGACAGAGTGAGACTCCAGTTCAAAAGAAAGAATGAATAAATGAATGAATGAATAAACAAACACTCTCTAAATTGATGACTCAAATTGTTATCTCCAGGTCAGATTTCTTTCTTGAGCACCAGACTTGTGTGTCTAAAAGGCATCATAAATATTAACACATCTGAATGCAGTTCTCAATTCCACACCTCTCAAAAGAAAAGGGCATTCCTTCCCTAGTCTTTCCTATTTCAATAAGTAAATCACCACTGAACTATTCGTTTAAATCCTAAATCCCTTGTCTTCTCCCTTCTTCATTTGACCCCTCGCCAAGCCTTGACACTTACACCAACATTAACAGGTCTTAAAAGCACTTCTTTTCATTTTCACCATTACTACAAGCTACTTTCGTCACACCCTAGTCACCTTGCTTTTATTCCTTCTCCCCTTCAAAAGTCCTTCACACAGTAACCAGTGAACTTTTCACAAACGCACATCAGCTCACTAAAACCCTAAAAACACTTCATGCAAGGGTCTGTACGATCTTGCCCCGGGAAGCAAGTCCACCTTCGTTAACTCTCTCCCATACACATCACGCGGGTGTCTCTTAAGATCTTGGTACTTTACTTTTCCCACTGCTTGTTGTTTTTCCCTCGAAGGTTGGCTCGGTCTCATATTTCAGATTTCGACCCAAACGTCTTCTGTTCCGAGAAGCCTTCCCCAGCCAGCCCTGTCTGCCGCGCTCTCATCACTCGACTCCAATCCCGGTCTTCCCTCCACAGCACTCACACGGCGCGATCGTTTCAAGCTTCAAGCTTCTGCTCACCTGCTCGCTGCTCCCCGCCCCCTCGTGCTCCGGGAGCGCGGGGACTTTTGGTTTGTCTTGCTTTTACAGAACAACCAAATTCCCAGTAATTACCGTAATGTCCGGCACATCGCAAGCACTTAGTTAAGTATTTCAACTAAACGAATGAATATGAATCTAGGCTGATCCTGACATTATGGCGGGCAAACCGTGGAGAAAATGAGGAAGACCTAGCACGGGAGTAGCAGCCTGGAGAGCAACGCGCGCCTGGGCGGAAGGACCCTCACCGAGGCCCCCCAACCCGCGCCCGGGACAGCCGACAGCACGGCCCGCGCCCCTCATCGCCGGCACCGGGACGGGACCACGGCCCCTGGCTGAGGGGCGGGTCCTGTCCCCAAGCCGGGAGACCCCGGCAGACACGCTTGAGAGCCCACGCTGGAAATCGCGTTCCGAAAGCCTCCCGTCCGGAGCCGCACCAAACAGGCCAGTTGAGTCCGCCATTTCTGAATGTCCTAAAGTGGGCAAAATTCCCTGCGCAAGCCCCCCCGGGTGTCAGAGCAACGGGAGGACACTCACATCATCTGACTGCATGGTGACGGCAGGAAGCGTGCAGTGCCTGGCGGGTCCTGGGAGCAGACATACTCTTTCCGGGAAGTCACTTCCGGAAAGCTTCGCTTCACCTATCGCGAGAAACCTCGAAACTCTCGGAGGCGCACAGCGTCCCCTGGCGGTCTAACCACCATGTGCGCCTCCACGTCCCGTCAGCGCGGACGTCAGCGCGCTTGCGCTCACTCTCCCTGGCACTGTGAACCCGCCGCGTGTCTGGGCCACACGCAGAGCGGCAGAGGCGCGCGGGCGGCCGAAGCCCGGGAAGCGCCTCTTCCAGCGCGCGGGTAACAACCGTCCCCGAGTGCTGGCTCCTCCCGCCCCCGGTCTCCTCCCCACCAGAGTGAGCGCGGGAAGGGCGGGCGGTGAGGCTGGGCCCCGGGTCTGAACTCCTTCCGGGGTTTTGAACCCCAACTCGGTGGTCCAGGCTCCGTCCCTTTCCCTCCCGACGACCCCCGCCCTGGCTGACTCCCGCAGGCACAGCGTCCAGACTTAAATTCATAGATCAGGACGAGCGCGGTGGCTCCCGCCTGTGTCCCAGCACTTTGGGAGGCGAGGAGGGAGGATCGCTTGAGCCCAGCAGTTCGAGACCAGCCTGGCCACACAGCGAGACCTCGTCTCTACAAAAATATAAAAATTAGCCGGACGTGGTGGCACGCGCCTGTAGTCCCAGCTATTCGGAAGCAGAAGCGGGAGGATCGCCTGAGCCCAGGAGTTCGAGGCTGCTGTGAGCCGTGATCGTGCCACTGCACTTCAGCCTGGGCGACAGAGTGGGACCCTGAGGCAAAAGAAAAACATCCACGGATCAGATATTTCAAAAGTGGAGGTCTGAGAGCTCTTTTCCACTCTTTATTTCGCCAGGGGAAAAATACATCTTTTTTTTGAGTCGGAGTCTCACTCTGTCACTCAGGCTGGAGGGCAGTGGCACGCTCACGGCCACCGCAACATCGACCTGCTGGGCTGAGGTGATCCTTCTGCCTGAGCCTTCCCAGTAGCTGGAACTACAGGCATGTGCCACCACGCCCGGCTAATTTTTTTTTTTTTAATTTATTGTAGACATGAGATCTCGCCAAGTTGCCCAGGCTGGTCTCCAACCCTTGAGCTCAGGCAATCCTCTCACCTTGGCCTCCCAAAGTGCTGGGATTATACATGTGCCATCACGCCTGGCCAAAATAAAACCTCTAATAGTTCATATCGTTTTACAAAAGGATAACCATTTTAATACCAAAAAGCATTAGAAGGGCACAGTCCCAGAAAAATGATGGGCCCTTAATCTAAATGCATGTTACGTTATGAAATAATTCAGTGTATAATAAGCAGTGTAGTTTTACTGCGTGCAGGTGAAAACCATGTTTCATAGCCACTCTTTGGAAAGCATTGACTTCGCACTGGTTTGGGCGCCAAACTTGGGTTAACCATAAAAACCTGCCATTTACTAAATATTTTCGGACAAGTCACTTAATTTTTATCAACCTATGAGTCATAGAGGTATGTTAAATATGTGGTTTAAATTACTTCATAAGAAGCAGTGTTGGTTCTCACTACACTTCTGCCCTGTGCAGGGCTGGGTTAGAGACCCAGAGGAAAGTCGTGTTATCACACACATATCCTTTTATGCAAGTAAAATCAAGTTTAAAACAACCAGGAGGAAATGAAAGCCTGAATTGTATACCCACCACCTGCACACAGCACACTTGGCAAATTGCTTTAAGGAGAGGAAATGGTACACTTGTTCAGTTTGGCTTAGTACTACACTTCCCACACACCAACACGTGAGACCTGTGCATACTCTTCACATCCCAGACATGTCTCTTAGCAAGCTTTTCCCCTAAAGAATGAGGACTTCAAATTGAAACACATCATGTAGATCCATTCTTCAACTAAGAAATAGTTTTAAAAGTCATGGCATATAATGCATGAATAATGGCTAGTTTTATTTTTAAAAGCCTGTAAGGTGAAAAGTAAATGTTTTCTTTCATCCTCACGCCTTCCAAAAGTCTTTAATTGATTCAGCAAGTAATTTGGGGGCATGCACTAAATACCAGATACAGTTTGAGATGCTGGGGATAGAGCAGTGAAGAGAAAAAACAAACTATGCCTTCATGGAGCTTAATTAGTAGAAGACAGAAAGCCAGAAAATATATAATGTAATGTCAGGTGGTAGTGTTATAAAAATAATAAAACAAAGTAAGTGAACATATAGAGAGAAAGCGAGATGGAGAATGCATTTTGAGAGAGAGAAATCAGGGAAGGATCCTGAGGAAGTAGGGAACCTGGGTGAAGTGAAAGGCTAAGCCCCATGATAACATCTCTGTTACAGCTTGACAAAGAGCTAATGGAAGTTCTCAGAGAGAAGATTCTTGAGTGACTCAGGAATAGTCAAGAGAAAATGTGGGCTGGAGAGTGAGGGGACAAGGGGATGAGCGCTAGAAAATGTGATGGGAGGGGAAACAGGCCAAATCACACATGTAGTCGACCTTGGCTTTGTGGAGACTTAAAAAAATTCCGATGCCCAGACTACTCCTCATACCAAACCGGAATCATAGATAGTGGAACCCTAGCATTGCCACTTATAAGTTTTTCTCTGAGCAAGATCTCACTCTGTCACCCAGGCTGCAGTGCAGTGACCATCATGTTTCATCACCGCCTCGACCTCCTGGGCTCAGGTGATCCTTCCACTTCAGCCTCCTGAGTAACTGGGTCTACACATGCACTTCACCATGCTCGGTTAGTTTTCAGATTTTTTTTGTAGAGAAAATATTTTGCCTATGCTGGCCTCAAACTTCTGGGCTCAAGAAGTCTTCCCATCTCAGCCTCCAAAAGTACTAGGATTGTAAGTGTGAGCCACTGTGCCAAACCACATTACCATTTATAGTTTTCTTTTCTTTTCTTTTCTTTTGAGTTGGAGTCTCACTCTGTCATCCAGACTGGAGTGCAGTGGCCGCTCCCGGTCACTGCAGCCTCGATCTGCTGGGCTCCGGCGATCCTTCCGCCTCAGCCTTCCAAGTAGCTGGAAATACAGGGCGCATGCTATCACGCCTGGCTAATTTTTGATTTATTGTAGAGATGAGGTCTCGCCAAATTGCCTGGGGGGGTCTCGAACCCGCGGGCTCAGGCAATCCACTCACCTTGGCCTCCCAAAGCGCTGGGATTACAGGCTGAGCCACCAAGCCCGGCCTATAGTTTTCTAAATGATTACAGTGTGCAGCCAAGGTTAGAACCAGAATCGTAAATGAGTACTCTCTGGCTGCTTTGTGGATGACATAGGAGCAGGAGTGAAAAGCAAGAACACCGTTTAGGAGGATCTCGCTGAAGTCCAGCAATAGATGATGGTGACATGGACCAAAATAGAGGTAGAGGTGGTTAGAAGGGATAAGATTCAGAATATATTGTTAAGGTAAGGTTCACAAAACTTGCAGATGGATCGGGTGTGGATTGAGAGTCAAGGTTGATTCCACCATTTGAAGTCTGAGCAAGTAGGTACCAGACTGCCATTGGGAAGTATTGATTTGGTGGGTAGGGAATCAAGAGATGTCTGTCTCGGACTTGTTAAGTTTTAAATACCTCATCCATTTCCAAATGGAAATTCCAAAAGGGCAGTTAGGTATACAAGTCTGGGGTTCAAGGGAGAAATAGCATCATAGATATACTATTGGGACTCATCAATATTTAAAACCACAAACGAGCGAGATTGTGTAGGGCTGTGATACTGAACTTTTAAAAATGTCCAATATAATTTTAGAAGTCTAGGTACTTGATTGCACAATATTAAACTTATAGCTAAGAACTTTCATCGTAAATTTAAGTAGTTAAAATTATGTCATTTCTGGCACGTTATAAACTCTGACATTTTATTTTATTTATTTTTTGAATTGGAGTCTCACTTCTTCACCCAGGCTGGAGTGCAGTGGCATGCACACTCACGGCCACCCCAGCATCGATCTGCTGGGCTCTGGTGATCCTTCCACCTCAGCCTTCCGAGTACCAGGAACTACATGGTAGCGCATGCTACCATGTCCGGCTATTTTTTATTCTGTTGTGGAGATGAGGTCTCGCCAAATTGCCCGGGCTGGTCTCAAACCCGAGGACTCAGGCAATCCACTTGCCTCGGCCTCCCAAAGTGCTGGAATTATAGGCTGAGCCACCGAACCCGGCCAGCACTGACATTTTAAAAAGGTTACATTATTCTTGGAATTTAAATATCAGAAATTTGAAAAACAGCCTCTTTAATTAAAAAAAATGGAATAAACCCTAACAGTCAGAAATATTACTTACTTTTTCTTCCTGACTATAAACAGTTTACATTTCCTTAATAGAGTTTTTAAATAAAAATTTGTGTGTATATTTAAGTTTATGTTATGATGTTATAGGATACCTATAGATAGTGAAATGGTTACTCTGGTGAAGTAGATTAACATCCATCATCTCACATGGTTATTTTTGTGTGTGTGACAAGAGCAGCTAAAATCTACTTATTTAAAAAAATCTCTGATACCATAACACAAAAGTCTTCATGTTGGGTATTAGTACTCTAAACGTGTTCATCCTATATATCTGCTATTTTGTCTTCTTTGACCAACATCTCATTTCCTCCTCTCCTCCCCCAGGGTAACCACTATTTCATTCTCTAGCTCTGTATTTGAGCTCTTTTTTTTTTTTTAATTTACATATAAGTGAGATTATGCAATATTTTTCTTCCTGTGTCCAGCTTATTTCATTTTAGCATAATACTACTGTAATATGTTTTTATTCTTAAGAAGTGTTTTTTCCTATCATATTCTTTGGCAACAGACTACTGTTATAAATTAGAAGTATGTTTTTAAGATGCTCTGTAATCTTAAAGATCTACGTATTAAGAAAAAAAATTTTATGGAATGAGTTATCATTGCAATTATTATTAGACAACTGACCAAAACACATATGCTAGAACTTTTCAGTGTGTCACACATATGTCATATTTTCTTATGCTCAATTATGTATTGTCCTTTTTAATGGTTCTTGAACCAATTTGCGTCCTTACAGCCCCATGAAATTGGT